TTAAGGCGACCTATAAATGTCCCAAGATAGTCAAGGCTCTCCCTCACTTCTCCCAGTTCCATGTGGTCCATCAAGAGGAGCTGAGGTGAGCATGCTACCTTAACGTGTCTGACTCCTTTGTTTTCCTCTCTCTCCTATCTTTATTATCCTCTGTGACTTTACTATCATCTTTATATATTATAACTGTACAGTCGTGCCTACTGGCCCAATAGTTGTTGTTGGAGGCTGACAGGTAAAGTGGTTAAAAACATGAGCGATGAACTCAGACACACCCTCATGCCCCTTGCTGTGTGGCCTTGGCAGCGTGACCAGAGGATTATCTGCTTCCTCATCCCCAAAATGGGGTAAATGATGTCCACCTTATGAACTCTGTCTTTGTTTCCCAGTGGGCGTGTAAGGAAAATACCACGAGTAGGTGGATTTCAAGAACAGAAATGTATTTTCTCACAGTTCAGGGATTCGAAGTCCAAAGAGAGGAGTCAGGGAAGTGGATCAAGGTGGGGGGGTGTCCTTCCATGTCTATTACAATTCCAGGTGTTGGGTGATAGCAAGTAGATTGTGACTCATAGTGGCTCCACTGGTTTTCTGGACTGTAGCACTCTGTCCCGTGGATCCGCTGGGTGGGTTTGAACCGCCAACTTGGCATCCAATCATTACATCATCAGAGGTCTCTGCAGCTTCTCGTGGCTGCCAGCCACTCCATTCTCTTCGTTTGTGCCATTCATTTCTCTTTTTTCGTGAATAGCATTCAGATTTTTATCCATTTTATTAGTCTTTTCAAAAAATCAACTTTTAGACCCAGGAACTATCTTAGCTATTTGTTCCATTTCATGGGTTGCTGTTTCTTACTTATTTCCTCCTGCTTTACTTGCATCTCATCTGCTCTTCTTTTTCTAGCTTTTGGAGCTGTGTGCTTAGGTCGATAGTTATTTTTAGATGATTGATTTTTTAACCTCTCTTCTTAAATATGCACTTAAGGCCTTAATTGCTTTCTGAGAATGTCTTTAGCTGCAGCCCGCAAGTTTTCCATTACGATTTAGTTCACAATGTTTTCTAACTTCCAAGATGACCTGAGAGTTATTTTAGTGGTGTAGTTCTTAACGTCCAAATATGTAATGATTCTCCAGTTATTATTTTTTATTGTCAATTTCTTGCTTCGTTCCGTTGTGGTAAGAGAATCTATTTTGTACAAGTTCCAGCCTCTGGAATTTGTAGAGACTTGTTTTTCTGTCCAGAATTTGGTCTATCTTCTTAAGTGGCTCATGTGTATTTGTCAATCATACTATTCAAATCCTTAATCATCTTTACTGATTCCTTTTACCAGTTACTACTGAGAAGGTCTAATTGTGGCTTTTTCTACTTCTCCCCTCATGTCGTCCGTTTGTTTGTTTGTTTAAATCATT